AGTTAGTTACAACTAAGTTTATCTAGTCATGACTAAGTTTAGCTACAATGTCTATAGTTGGCGGAATAATTAGCGGAATTCTAGAAGAATGGAGTGAGCACTTCTATTTTGTCTTTTACAAGGAGTGAGCACTTCTATTTTGTCTTATACAAAAGTTCTAGATTCCAAGGGATTAGATATTTGACTAGAAGCTTGAATTTGATTGGTTTGACTAAATGTATGAAAGATGATTGGCTAGACTAAGTCTAATGTTGACTTAGTGGCTAGGAAGCTTGTAGAAGTTTAAAAGCTTCCAATGGCATGTCGCCACCTCAACCTTGGATTCCGGAAGCTTCTAGAAGGTTTAGGTAGGCCAATGGCATGTTGCCACGTAGAGAAGGTTAGTCAAACTTACCTAGGTAAAAGTAAGTTAGGAGAAATTACCACATGTTACTATGGTAATTTCTCAAGTAGTATAAATAGAGAGGTAGAGTAGCACCTCTCAAGCAAGTTTGGAGAGTCATGTGTGAGGACTTGTTTCAGTAATGAAGGAGTGAAGTTTTTGAGTATCTTGGAGTATCGACGTGTGTTTGAGTTTATGTGAAGAGGGCGATGTGAGGAGAGTTTGTGTGTGAGTTGGAGTGATACATGAGAGTGTGTGAGAGAAGGTGTTTGGGACAAGAGTGAGAGTATGAATCCTAGTCTTCTAGAACCATGATGCGTTACCACAAAGCCATCAGAGGTAAACCTCAGTGAGAGTCAGCCCGGAGGTTGCAGTACGTATTCAGCAATTTATAATCCATGATCCCAATACAAGATAGTCCAGAATATACTAGGAAATATAGAAAATGTAGAAGTAAGTTGTGGCTTAAAAATGGGAAGGTAAGCTGATCCGACATTCATTACTACGATTAAGAATAACTTAATACATTTGCATGGAATGTGCAATGCAAAAATATGACCAAAAAGCTTGTGCCAAAAGACAAGACAGTTGTTAAGTGATAAGTTGAAGAACATTCTAAAATGTTAATGTCAATGGGTACCCATACCCATAGCACAATGGATGAGTATGGACTTAAACGCATGGGTGATTATGAGGGACCCAAGCTTTAAGACAATTGAGTTAGAAGATTGTAGGGCGACTCGTTTTATAGTAGTCACTAGTGATAACTCTTGGATTGCACCACGCTAAGAATTATTAATAGCTAATCCGCACATTGTATTGATTAGCTATTAATTGTCATGAGCTTTCTTCTTCTACTTTTCTTACTTTGTGCTTTTCTTCTTCTACTTTTCTTACTTTGTGCTTTTCTTATTTTGTGCTGAGTAGTTATTAATTTGATTTCAATGTGGCACATTGTGATGGTGATGAGCTATTAATAGCCTAGCGCAATCTAAGTTGGCATTATACTGGAGACATAAAACCTAAAAAACATAGTGACACACTCACACTAGCCACCAACACAAGACACCAGTGTATAACGTGATTCACCCTCAAGAGGGTTACGTCTACCAGGAAATATCACTCTTGAGTATTACTCCAAGTCTGTAAAGAAGTACTGAATGTATAGATTAAAACCTAGGTATTTTAACCCAATCCAGGCGACCGTTCAAGCTGCATTTAGCTAAAACCTGAGTTTAATGCTTAACTACAGTTAACCTCAACATATCCTAGAGGGTCTAGGAAATAGTATTTGGATGAAAGTAAAGATTTTGTAAAGTAAAGCAGCTACGAGCAGATGCAGGCCACGACGTAACCGCAACAAATTGAACATGATCTAAAGAACAATGGGAGTATACGTGATTCACAAGCAGGTGAGCAAGAAGTGAGATGTTTGGGAAGCGTTTGACACAGTCCACGATCGCAGCAATGTAAATCTAGATTTTGTTGCTTCCAAGTACTGCAACAAAGTTTATAATTTCTAAACCAGCATATGTACGGCTAAGATCTCAAAGCACAAATGTCTTGTTCTCGCCTCCGAGGCAATCGCTACGAAGGTGTTTTTCAAGATGCTCATCGTTACAAAGCAAGAAAAAGATACGATGACGGCAGCAGAGATCAACTACTACTCGACCAACAGACATCTATTCGAATCTCTTAGCGGGTTGGACCTCAAGGCGCTTGACATCGGATCAAGTAGTACTGACCGGATTACAATCAACAAGTTGTTTACCAACCTGACGACGATTAGCCGTAACGTCAATTCACATGCTTTGAACGGCCGCGAGAAGCTCACCCTTGTTCTCGAGAAGCACTTGGATTCGGACTTGAACGTGATATGTAGTCTCGACTTGTGTACAAACTCAGTCAAGAAGAAATTGTACATGTTCATCATCATTCATTATATCAATGAGATGTTCAATCTATACCCGGCACGTTGCACATAAAGCGTGGTGAGAAAGCTAGTCACACGGCAAAGATGGTATTGAAGGAGGTCTAGTTGTGTTCAAGATAATGACGAAGATGTAGCAACAAATCATCATGATCTTGAATAGCGGTTTGAACTCTTGTGACGTTCATAGCATCCCGTCCGCTTTTTATTGGCTTGTGTGTCTCGATCACAAGTTGGCGATCGTGTTAACGATTGTCATGAACAATGTGATCAAGATGAAGAATAGCATCAAGAGCAAACCGTTCTATCGGTACAAGGACGTATAGCAAATGATGCCGCTATGCATGTTGATCGATGCGTGCAAAAATCTGATCGAGTATTGCAAGCGTGCAAACTTGCAGAGTCAGCTTAGCAAGACGCTCAAGTTGGAAAACGTAACTCAATGAAACTCAGCTCCTCCGCTCCCTTCTAAGCATTGAGTAAATGTACGACGTGTTAGTGTTGCTCCTTCAAATGAAGGATAAGCTGAGCAAGCTCAATGACATTTTGCAGGTGCTACTCAAGGAACCAATTGCTTTTCTTTGCCCCTTCCAGCAGTCGACACTAGTGCTCGAGAAGTTTAAGCATCCGACTCTTCACAAGGTCGTGTGATGACATCATGTGATCTTGGTACACTTCCGGCTAGTCTTGAGCGATGTGGTGGATGAGGATGGCAACGTGACAACGGCCAAAGATCCGACTCGATCAACACAATCAAGTGCATCATGCTACCGCTCTTGTATAGCAAGTTTGTCCTTCTTGATATCCACGTCATGGCGTTGTTGCTAGATCCGATCATGAAGTCATGTCTTGTCCGCCTTGATGTTGAGTGCAACCAAATTGAGTTGGCCAAGGATAAGCTCAAGGATGCAATGATCAAGTACGCGCACTTGGACATTTCGCCTGCACAATCACCGGTTAGAAAGAAGTCGCGCTTGTCGGTTTTGATGTACGATCAGATGCTCGAGTATGTCGATGAGTAAAACAACGTCCCTCCTGCTAAAGATCACGACGCTAACGCTGCACTCAACGCAAAAATCGACAACGAGTACGATGGGTACATGAAGCACAATGTCATTGATGGAGTAACGAGTCAATGTGCTGATGGTGATGCTAGCAATGAGTTCCACGTTCTGTCATGGTGGAGGTGCAAGGACAAGGACGTGTTGCCGATACTGGAGCGAGTCATGCGGTCCATCCTGTGCATTCCGGCATCCAGCACCATGTCCGAGAACAACTTTTCGGACGACAAAAACATTCTAACCAAGAAGTACAATCGACTGAAGCCTGAACGGTAAACAACATTATGTTACTACCCTCTACTCATGACATTTTCATGTAATTGTTTACAATAAATCATTTTTAAAAAAAATATTTCAATTTATCTTAAGTAACTTTATTTTGGTGATGGACCGAGGGGTATAAGTTGGGTGGGTAATGTATGTGGACAAGGTGATATGGGTGGGTCCAGGTCAGTTCAGGACTACGGGTAGGGTACAGTGCAGGACTGGGGTATCAATGCCATAGATTTCCCACTCCAATTTTCACAATTCTTGCGTTGAGAATTGACTGTAGCTCGTTTTCGTCATTGAGGAGTATAATTAACACCTCGGGATATTCCTTTGGGTATCAATTGACATGGCTCTGGACCAATTGCTTCTAATACTATAGTAATACTTTCCACTTACCTTTCATTTCTCAAAATGGTTTGATTTCATTTTCTCTCTTTCGTTCCACATTTCAGGTTCGTGGATCTCGAACATGCAGTAGCCCCCTCTGCTGTCCACTAAATACCATACCCTACGTCAGTGGATATCTAGGCATCTAAAGACTTCATCAACTCTGTTCACTTGAAATTACAATCACGCGAACAAATCGGAGTCATTGTCAACCATAATGAATCAGTAATCCCTTACCGTGCTCGTGCGGATGATGAACAATATCGAAGAGACTGTGCCAATATTCAGAAACTCTAAAGATTAATTGGCTGAGGGGAGTCAGCACTATTCAGACGATATAATCAGGAACATCGAGTTGTACTCAGTAGAAGGTATCTGAGGGTATTCAGGTTCCCATGCTTTCGTAGAGTTGAAATCTCGTATGCCTAGTTTCCGCTATTTCAGCCTTCTGTACTATACGTAAGGGAAGTGAACCATTTCCTAATTATCGTAAATGGTTCCATCTTTCCGATTTTATCACTTAAAAAACGGTATCTGATCCAATCCTGAAGCATTTCAGTAGAGTAGTCTGAGAAACGCAGGAAATACGACACGAGCCTGAGGTGTTTCTACATATTGAGTTGTTACTGAGTTTCATCTGCTGCCGAACCCAACAGACTCCGATCAAAGCATGTAGTACGGTACAACACGAGTGCTCCACGTCTCTCGTTCCGGCATCCCACGATCTAAATTACGGCTTAAGAGAATTGACAAGGATGATATTGCACGAAAACAATCAACCTTGCGCTTATATTCAACACACCAATTACTTTCAGCTGGACCATCGGGTGCGCGGATCAGTTATATTCCGAGAAACAACCACTATTCCCAAGGAAAATTGGTCGTACTTGCTGACAAGCATGAACAATTCGATAAAAGACATCCACGGCCAGAACAAGCATGGTGGGTATCAAGCAAGACAACGGCATCTGCCACATACTCCTTCTGGGATATGCCTTTATTATTGCTCAGAAGTGACAAAAAATGCTAGGGAGAGACCTGACACAAGTATGTCAAGTATTGCACTGGATTGCCACTCCACAATGAATGATTTTTTAAGGCCAGAGTACAGTAATTCACATAGTTCTAACCCCCGCACCTCCCTCTTCTACGTGTACTGGGAAACCATGTTCTACTGTTGTGCAAAACTCCCTGCTCCACCTTTCCCTCCCACCCTTATCCCATTGCCACCCCCAACACTGCCTCCACTCCCAGTTGGAGCCACCATCCCTTGTGGAGATTGTTGAACCCCAGGCATTGATGTTGGGGCAAGCCCTCCAGGGGCTGGTTGTAGGGAGTTGTGTAGGTGGGATATCTGAGGTTGTGGGAGATGATGCTGGCCAGGTAAGTAAGGTGGTGCTCCACTGTAATGCATTTGGGGAATGCCTCCACCTGCATAGAAAATTGAAATGCAATTACAGTGGGTCCAAGCTGACTGTCTGCTTTTTGTCCGTAAAACATACTGAGAAATGCACATCGCTTGCATAAGCTGTGGATAATGGATGATGAAATTCACACTAACCACGATGTTTTTGTTGTTGAGTTTGTTGAGAAGGTTGGGGAGGCAGTGGTCCTTGTGGAGGAGGAGGAACTGGCTGTCCCTGCATCATTCCCTGGGAGAAAGTCAATTGTATGTCATTAATCGCCTATCCAGATTAGAAAAAAAGCGTAGGAGTATGTGCGATAACACCAGCTTCAGCGAACGTCATATACTCAACAAGTTAACCAGACGAGACACAAGTTCGCGGAGAGGATTACGTGAAAGACGAAACACAGTGGTCAACTGCCTCGGGGACTCAACACCTCTTTGAACCGGTAAAAGTTTTGCTATTACAAGTTCAGGCTCGAGCTACCACGCTAAGCTAATCTAGCTGTCTAAGTGAGCTACAAACAACCAACTTGACCAACACTAAGGCCTGCCAAAAATCTGCGTCACCTTATCAACCCTGAAACCCATATCTTCCTGTTTCAAGGAGAGAAGGTCCCGGTAATGATCTAAAGAAGCCAACCTGCGGATACTGTGGTATATACAAGAGTTGTCCAGAAGGATACAGCATCTGCTGGGGATACTGCACACAAACCACAGAGTATGGGATTAAGTCTCATGGATGTAGCGTAGTGCTAAGTACTTAGTAACAGGTGTAGTTGAGGTGTAATACAGACACAAAAACATCATTTTCGTATGGACTGGCCTGCAATTAAGTGAATGGATGACACTCACGTGTACAAAAAATCCAACCGCCAATCAGAGGACTGTGGTATGGGGCTATACAATATTTAAAATTTGGCATTGTTCCAAGGGACCACCAAGCACAAAAGAGGAAAATATAAATTGACAATAGGGTCTATAAACAAAGTTGGACACAATCACATGAAGAAGCTCAAACAAGCAACCTGACTTACGAGCTGGGCATTAGCGTGGAGGTAAGGTTGAGGTTGCATGGGATGCCCTTGCGGAGGATATCTCAGCTGTTGCTGTTGTCCATATGGGGGTCCGACTACCTGAAATTAAAAGTATCAGAAGGAGAGAAAGAAAAGTGGCAGGAAAATTTCAAGACTTCATCGTTCTGCATTGTGAGTAAATTGGTATCGGTGTACATAGACGTAAATGGCTTCAGAAAGTTAGACAAAGGATTTCTTTCACTATATGGACGTATCAAATGGTTCGTTCCTACAGACATATCTCATTCCTCTGGGCTTGTTCTCTGCATCTATCTTCTGATATCACACATCATATTTTCCACATTCAATTACCTCAACGATAGTATTTATCAACATCTCCCAAACCAAACTATATCATTTTCGCTTGCCATAAGAAAAAAATACTGGCCTGTTGTTGCGAGTGCGGTGGCATCTTCATATTGGGTTGCCCAGGCAAGACAGGGGGACCCGTAGCACCTGGAACATAGCCACCAGGTGGTTGCATGTACTGTGGAGAGCTTCCCACAGCAGCAGCAGCCATAGCGTTATTGTACTGAGTGTATTGAGAGGGCTGTCCAGGTTGCTGCATGTACTGTCCAACATTCATGCCGACAGGCACACCTTGCATTGGTGTGACAGGTGGGAGGCCGGCATGCATGTACACAGGGCCCTGAATCATTGGTGACGCAGGCCTTGCCGTAAAACTTGGTGTGAATGCCTTTGCATTAGGGTTCAGTTTGAACTCCTGCACAATCAAACATAAACGTCACAACACTGCCAACCCTAACAACTTTGTAGGTTCCCTTCATAATTACACGAACTTTTGACGCTGCACTTCTTGTGAGTTTTTCCCGACCTCGGGTGATACTTCAGATGCACCAAACAGTATGTTAATCCGCTATTGTCCGTCATTTAACAGTTGAGAAGATGTGAAAATTTGATTCTTTACACAGGAGTATTAGGCCAAATCACTATGCTCAAATGGCCATGTCCAGGTGAAGTGAGACGAATTACAACATATTTCTACTTAGCAAACTTGAATCAATCCTTAATACGAGCGCCGGGGATATGACGGAATAAGTAAAAGAGCACCACGGAATGTGAGTGAGAGACAACCAGAGACGAAGTAAACTAAATCATGAGGGAGTAGGTGAGTCAGTAGCAGCTCTCGAGTTACTAGCACGCACAGCTACCTCTCTCCATTTTTCCAGTGACTAGGAATATTCACAAAGAAAGACGATGGATGGAAGCCTCAACAGTTGTCTAGTTAACACTCGACTGGATCAATCGATTGCATTGTATTTAAGAGTTAGACTCTATGAATTTTTTACTGTCTGGTCTAACTAACTAAAATTGAGCCCTCTACGTTTATACATCTAAGCTCCTTCAACTTCCCGTCTCATTTGAAAGTTGACAAAACATTCGGCGCATCTTTCGTGTTCTCCACACAAGAATCCTCTCACTTTACCAAAATCTCTATGTATTCAGTAAAGGATAATTTATCGCGAGGTTTATCACGACCTTAAGTTGCGATTCTCTCAATCTGGGTATCCACTATTGATACTCAAGATCAAGGTCTTCTTCAAATGTGCAACATTGTTTTCGGCAGTAACCCTTGAAGTAGCTCTTCCTCTTCTAATTTTGTGCCCTCTATACATACTTGAATTAACATAAGAAGGAAATGAATCGATGTGAGAGTACCTTTGCATTTGGATTTAACGAAGATTTCTTTGTACAAGGTGGTGCTCCGGATGCAACGGAGGAGACCGACGACGATGGTGAAACAGAAGGCGACACTCCGTGCGAAACCGGTACACTTGGCACGCTCAAGGGAGAGGGTGCACCGAAACTGGTACTGAGAGAAGAAGGCGCGGACAGCCCATTCGAAGATAAGGCTCCACTAGATTGACCAACGGCTGGCGTTGTCATGGGGGAAGCATCAAAAGAAGTACCGGCAGTTGCAGTCCCTTGTTTCGTAACAATTGACGGTAGAGTCGATGGGGTACCACTCAACTGACCGCCGAGGCCAACTGGAATCGGTAATGCTGAAGCCGGAGGAGCAGATGCTTGAGCTGCAGTTAAATGAACTGGAGAACCACTTGAAGGCAAACTGGACTTGGAATCGAGCGAGCCTAATGGCCTTGCTCCGCCATCTTGAGAACCATGCCTGCTTGAGTTGCTCACTGGGTCGCCAGAGGAAGCTTTGGCTGCGAATACAAGTCAGTCACGAAGTAAACACCTAATACTGAAAATTGAAGGTCATAATGACAACTGGCAACAAATCTAGTGGTTCTTAACAAGAATGTCCTTCAAGATAGCAGGGCATAACAATCAAAGTCAACTTGATAAGAACTTACGGGCAGCCTTCGGTGAGCTAAGCTCGGAGTCCTTAATCTGGAACACGAGGAGGCGGATCGTGTGGTGTCAGTCTAGAAAATTTGTGAATCCAATTCAGTCGGAAAAACAACCAATTGATTAAAGAGCTGAGAAGCTCTGGTTAAGATAACAAAGTCACGAGGCGTAGACAGAATGTTGAACAAAACGAAAACATCTATTTTGATAGACCGAAAACGAAGAAAAAAGAAACATACAAAATCTAGAAGAAGAATTACGAGCCCAAAGCAGGCTTAGGCAGCAACGAGGCCACATAAATCGGCGAGGAATGACAGCAGAAAGTACAAATATCTCACTCTAAGGCTTTCGCTGAAATTCTTTAGCTCGTTGACTTGATCCTCCCTTTGCTTCTTACTTGTCTCCTTTTTCCTCAACGTTTCCTGAGTTTTGAACAACAGAAACTCCCTGCGAGAGTCCAAGTCGCCATGGAGCCTTAGAGAAGGCCCGGTCATCCCACCTTTCACGTCGTTAACAAGCTACAAATAGTTGCCTTCGACTTGAAATTCAAATTACTCTAAACAAAAAGGAGGTGAATCGAAATCTTTACTGGACAGCCCTCGCGGCCTGATCAAGATGTTTGTATGCTAGAATAATAAAAGAAAGAGAAGTTGCAGTACTTGTACACGTCATCTGGTACTTGTGGACAGCTAGGGTCCAGATTAAGAGCTTGAATGCTTGCAGGATCACCGACGAGGGGTGAAGACAGCGGCGAGCCTCTCCCAACAGGGCTATGATATGGGGAACCTCCAGCCTGGACACAAATAACGCACAATAATCTTGTTAGACGCAGCAGTTCTAAAAAACTCATGCTTTCAGGTTAGATACCTTTCAACACCAACACACAAAAAATGGCTTGTCGCTATAGAGGGATCAGACTGTGGCTGTCCCTTCTTTCAGGACTTTCTCATCACCATCTGTACTTCATAGAAACCAGACAGATTTTCTGAGAACCGAGTCCACGTCAGGCTGACCAGCACACCTGGTAATTCTCACCTCACAAGAAGAAGCAAGCGAGAAACTGCGAGACCGACATCGCACTGATTTACCAAGAAAGATTGCCCCCCGTCAGAGGCAACATAAAGTTGAGCCTCTGGTATCTAAGAATTCGTTGGTTCATCTAAGTCTTGTAGTAGATGCCAGCTCTACAAGCCAACAAAAATCCTCTTAGATCTGACTTTCTAGACAGAAGAGGGGAAATAGACAGGGATGGGAAAAAAAAGGTGGACGGGGTGCGAAGGGTGAAGGGAAAGAAAACCAAGCCTCTCTGAAGAAGGCTTTAAAACTCGGAGGGCTGGCCAAGCAGCCACATCCCCAGTAATAAGGACTGGCTACCTTGCTAGAACGCTTGCTTTTGTCGCCAACCAGGAGTTGCCGTAGTCTCACATGCTCCCTGTGCGTGTCAGCCTGGCTATCAAGTACCGCCACCTCCCCCTTCTCTATTGACGTTGCCCTCCTTTCTCGCAATGGAAGCAATGGATCCTTTTGCGATGGCCCATTATTTGTCTGCCGAAAAGGAGTACAACATGTACATCTTTGCAGTTCTGGACCATGAAGACGTAAAGCAAAACGACTGACCTTCTATCAACAGAGCTAGCATCCAGAAAAACTCCCTAGATTTGCATTGATAACATACTTGCACCATGACAAGCTACGCAAAGATACGAGAAAACTACAACAGCGATCGACGAGAGAGCAAAGGCCACACAGAGACTAGTCAACTCCAGCAGCTGCCAAGTTTGAAGGATTGAGGAAAGACTGTAAGACTGTAAGACTGCTCTCAGAAAACATGAAAAACCCTGTTTTTTGTCCACACACCCAAGTACAGGCTATGACCGTTCGGTGCACCTCTACTCGGGTCGTTCGCGATATTCACAGAAAGCTGAAGGCATGTTCGATAAATCAGCTTCTTCACCAAGGCCAGACATAGATAACGTGGATATAAGCAGTAATTTAGGAATATCTATCGCAACGCCGGAAGCCCCCGTGTATGCCCATCAAGCATATCACAAGCAGCTTACCTGCGAATCTGCAGACGACGGCCGACTTGTTTTGCTTTCGGATTCACGAGTGATGGGTGTGCTTACAGAGCTGCCACTCGGGCTAGTTGAAGCACCTCCACTTCCACCGAAAGCGCTACCAAAAGTCTGTCCATTCTGGTCGTCGATGTGTCCATACTCGCCATCCTCGCCGACATCAAGCTTTGCTCCTCTGATGACTGATGAGAATTTACTCTCTTCGTCCATCGTTTCCAGCTCTGGTGCAATTCGTATTCCTCGTTCCTGTTGACCACACAATCAGATCAGGCTCAGTAACTAAATGTAAGGATTGAGATACAAGCGACCGTTAATCTTCAAGCCAAAATTTAAGTCACGAAGAAACCACAATGCCTGAAGTTGAGTACTGACCTCAGCTACATGGGGATTCCTGGTGGTTTGACCTTCAATTTCCCTCGCAATTCTCCAGGCCTCCCGTTCCCGTTCTCTCATTTGCGGGCCCCTCTCGAGCTTCGTTGTGTACAGCTCTTCGTTGAAAGTGGTCTCAACGCCAAACAAAGCCTTGTTTGTCTCAAACTGGTCCCAGTTTCTGAATATCGAGAAAGCAAAAGTGAATGAAGAAGGTACCAAGGAGTTGATGTGTCTACGATAAGTCGGAGGAGCGACATTGAACACTGAAGAACGAGAGGACTGAAGCCGGTTGTACAGATGAATGACGAACACTGACTAACAGGCAACCTGACGAACCACTCAAATATTAAAGAGGACGGTGAAGTTTGCTCAATCATACGTTCAAAGAACAATGACGTTATTAACATCCGGGGGAAAGCTGGAACAACCAAACAAGGACGACTACAAGGTCCTCGCCATTAAGCAGATCCCAGAAGCAACCCCATCGCTACAAGGCAGTCGTGATTCCCATGGAGAAAGACGGCACCTCGTGCTCATGTTTTCTTAGGAACTAAAGTGAAAATAATATGCAGTACATTGAATAGAAAAGATTCAAGAGACAGAGCAAGGTGATGTAGGTTAACAACTGAGGAGGCTACACCACCACTTTTCGACTAGTTTATGGCCACAACTCGGTCAAACGGAAGAAATCAGTCATAACATAAATTATGTGTGCGATAAGGCCATGGTCCGGCACACAGCATCTCAGCATTGGCTTTATCCATCAGACTGAAAGGTGTCTTCAATCTGCCTTTATGCAAAACTGCAACGCTAAATAGATCAGTAGACAGCCAATCTGCCTAGGCGTGAAATTTAGGCCCAGAAGATGGACCCACTTATCATGCAAGCTTCAGTGCATTATCTCACCTGTTCCAAGAGCTTTGGAAGGTGGACTCCAGGCCAAGATTCCTTGGCGCTTCGTCATCAGGCTTCCAAGGCTTCAACTCACGCTCCACCTCCCGCTGCCGACCTTGAGACAAAACAGCATCTGTGACAATCTCGGCCCTATTTTCCCGTGCCCGGCCGTTAGCTATAGCGTCACCAGTGAGAGAGACGTCCTGCAGAGAAGAGGTTTCGTTCGGAGTGAGTGACTGACTTCGGAAGTTCCAATAACCGGAAACCCGCCATATGCACAAATTAGATACACTGGAAACGATTGCACCTTAGCAATAATTTGCACAAAATCTTTCGCAGGGATAACCAGCGTCTTTTGGGGAGCTTTTCTCGCAGCCTCTTTCACTGCATCGCTTTTCCCGCCTTTGACGGTTCCATCCTTGATAAGCCGAGCCATCTTCAGGACAATACCTGTTTAAGAATGGAGGGGAAATATGAGTTAATGCTGAGGTCTCTGAAAAATCAGATAGGTAAACATAGACCAGTAGAAAGTCGTCCATATGACAACTGCCTCATCAATATAATGAAGAGAAAATCAGCCTACACTAAGAGCCATGCCCTGATCGTCCAAAAACTAGTAGCGTTTGATTCTTAGGCGGGTAATGATGCTAACCGAAATCTTTGTCCGTATTGGCGGTGTGGAAAATTCCTGAATAAAATGAACCATTTTTTACTTGAACCTCCACAGGTTGGCCAATGAGGCACATAGCCATGAAAAGCAAACGATCATGATGAGGCTTCTCGACACCTGCACCTCTCGGAAGGCTGGCAACTCCCGTTTCTGCCCTTTCCCCTGAACTTCTAGTACTTCCACCAACGCTACCGCTGTTACTACTTATGCTGTTAAAGTGCCCGTGCCCGTGAGCTCCCGGGGACGCAGAGGGATTAGGTCCACTTCGCGAAGGACCTTGAGAGGAGGACCGCCAATTTTGAGAGTCTGACCGAAATCCAGCATCTGCCCGATTGTTACTTACATCCCTCTCTGGCCTACGTCGACCCACACCATTAGCAGCCGCCGGTCGCTGCTGCACCTGTGGTTGACTCATAGCTCACCACGCAACCCTACCACCTTTATTGGACTCGGTAAGAGCCAGCACGATGTCTCGATGCAACTTCGCAATGCAACCCTGGAAAATTTTAGGGGATACCAGCTGTGAGTTACAAGGTCACGGTCCGAGAGTTCAGCAGTTTTCCTCTACTCTGAAACAGCCCACATTCTTCAGAGAGACAATCCATGTTCCCTAGCCGCCTCCATGCTTCGAACAACCAAGCACCTGGAAACAGAGCAACCTATTCCAGCAAACTCTCGAGTCACCAGTAAACTCCGGGTTTCAACAGGTGAAATCGACTTACGTTCGTGCTGGTGAGCTCAAAGTCGGCTCAATTTAATTCCTGTATCCTTCGCTCAAAGTTCACGTACCGCGGCCGATCAGCCCCACAATACAGACAGTGCATCACCGCCTTGGGGCATCACTCCAACCCTGTGTCTGACCTCATTTTACTCGGCAGGAACGACACAGCTCAAGACTGACTTTGTCCAAGGAAACCCCAACAGAGGCACTCGCAGTTGAGTCGTAAGTGCTCAAATAGGTTGGGCGCCACGATGAAGTTAATTAATGGTTATGTCAAATCCCTCCATTAGGGTATCGCAGTTCATACTGGCTGCATACTTAACAGCAGCGCCGGTCCGAACAAGAACGATACTTGCCGTTGCGAGGGGAAGAAATCCACAATACTACGACCAATTACTACCATTCCTCGTCCACATAGACAGCTCAATGAAGATTAAGACATCAATCGCACCTGCAGAGTCGACGACTGTGCATGCGCTCCTTATTGATTCAATCCTTGGAGCCGCCTATGGGACACATGTGCGGAGATCCGGAAAAGAAAGGAGTTATGGGTGGACAAAGGCACCCTCGGTGAAACAAAAAAACAGAGAGAAGATAGACAACGCACATATGGAGTAGACGAATGGATTAGAAGGTGACGGAAACTCAAGGACCAAAGTCCACGCACGACAGCAAACCCGACGTTACAAAAGCCTCTACGAACACAACGGGCACAACTCACCGACCGCAACCCTACCAAGTGCAACCCCGCCAAGCCACTGAGACGAGATAGCAACTTACTGCCCCGAGGGTGTGAAGAGAGAGATGACAAACTACAATAAATCAAATGGTCCACGAAACTCGAGAGATCCGACACCCGAATCCATCGAAGAGCTCGCCAATCACACCATCAGTCCCGCAACGAACACGAAGAGAGGTGGAAAGTACGGAAAAAAAATCCTAACTCAGAAAGACAGGAACGGGAAAGAAAGGGAAAAAAAGTCCCAAAATTAAACCCCGAGGTCCTACGTTGGAGAGAAAAAGGGAAGAAAAATATGACGACTCAAGAGGACGAAACACACGAAAACTAACTACAGGACTGACGACCACCGCGCCGTGACACTGACAGAGGAATGGGGAGAGGAGAGAGGGGGGAAAGGGGAGAAAGATCGAGCAGAAAGGAAACCAAACAGAGCAACAACAGAGAAGAAGCCTCGTTCTTCTTCCTTCGTAGACGTCTCGACGAGACAGAGTGCAGCAAGGGACGAAGCGAGGGAAAGGCAATCAAACCCTTTCTTCCCTGGCGGACGAAGGCCAGCCCGAAAAGAAACCGGCTGACCGGCATCTCCCCATCGGGCGACGCCTCGACGGCCGCGATTGCTCCGCCCGCGGCGCCCACCGGCCAGCTCCCGCAGCGCCCACCGGCCACCGGCCGTACCCTGGCATAGCGGGACCGCCTTTTACCCACAATCGATGACGACATCCGACCTTCCCAGTAGAACAATTCTTATCACATTGTACCGACAACCCGCTCCTGACCGGCTCGCACCGCTCGACGCTCCCGATGAGCCCGCCTCACGAACGCGCGAGATTCCCCGCCCAGCCGGTGGTCCTCACCGGAACCCCTCCCGCTGGTCGCATCCGGGTCGGGCTCCTCCTCGGACAGAGTCCGCGGTACAAGAACATGCCGTAGCCAGCATAGGCGTGCTCGGCAGCCAGCTCCGGAAGCCCGAGGCCCAGTTCGTATCGCTCCCTGTGCGCGCAGGCTCAAGATAAGAACACTGGCGCAGAATGTATGTTCGTGTTTATTTTGCTGTAGTTCGTCTTGGATCTTCCACCCAACCGCAACGAGATACAAGTATCGCTCGCGGGTCACGAGTCGACGTCCCTGGGACTTCATACATACTGTTGAAGATTCACTCACTCCACTCCTGGATCTTCTTCCTTCGTCTCCCTTCGTATTCCTCCCCTTGCCCTTCCCCTTCCCCATGCCTTTCACGTCACGTCTTGCTGCTGGTTAGATGAAGAATGTTTCGTGTGGAAGGGTGTGGCTGGCGTTAACGAGATCGCGGTCTCTGTAAAGGAACAGCCGCTTTCGTGTACTCCTCGAAGCTTGACTCTTCTTCTTCCTAGTTTTGTCTCACTCCACTTCAGTCATTTTCTCTCCTCTCCTCATCAGCCGTCTTTTGGAATCGCATGATTTTGTGCAGCATTGCGCTCATGTTCTTTCGATATTCAGGTGGATGTCGACCTTCCTTTTTTTCTACAGTCGTTCCCGAGACACAGAAGAACAAAGACTTGCAATTGTAGGAGGGAGCAACGTGTTCTGTGCATGAAGTTGTTCCTTCCGAAAGTAGCGAGAATTGGGAGATCTACAGAAAATACTTTATTTGTTTCCGCGTGGTTCTTCTGAGGTAAATGAGTATAGGGAGAGTACTATAGCTGCCATTAAATCAAAGGAGTAAACTAGTACTCGTCAGCTGGCAAAGCACGAGTGTGCCAGCCGACAAGTCAACTGAAGGCTCGGGTCTGTAGATATTATTACCTTCTATTCCAGTCAACTTTTGGAAAATGAAAATGAAAATGAACTGTCACGACAAAAAACAAAAAACATAATCCGTTTAAATTTCATGGGATTACCTTGGAACTTTACTGGGTTGTGTTGAGTATGACAAGTTAATGAGAAGAACCCATTCGATAATATCCCGCGAGCGACTATATGGGTTTCCACCACATTCGTTGGGCTTCATATACACTTCCCTATATGGGAAAATCCCGTGATATGTTTTATGGGTGATGAAGAAACATATAAGATATCTTGATATTATATACTGTAAATATTATGGGTTAAGAAACATCATCTAAACAGGTTTTCATCTCTTGACAGAATAAGGGAAAGATATGTTTTTGTTGTTTTGAATGAAAATTAAAATTCTTCATTTTCCCGTGATTTACGGGAGAATGTTGGGTAGAGCACCTTACTGTTAAATTAAAAACTTGTGGCAAATTATATACATCTATCATCTGGGTTGCGCTTGTCGATGCATCGCCATACACCTTACATCGCTAACATGCTACTCTCATACACATACATAGGACACGAGAGCGTATACACTCAAATGTATCACAACTCGTCCCCCTAGCTGGCGGTCAGGTCCCTCTAGCTCCCAAGTAGCCATATCTACAATTACATGCTATACACCTTCATGGATGCGGGAACCAGTAGGCCACATGCTACGTCGCCCCATCGTTAGTCGTCTATCTGTAATTCATAACATGTGAAGATCAAGTTATCTATCTCTCCAAAGTACATCAAGGACAAACCTATCGTCCAACCGAAACAACATCGATAGGTGGAGTCAGTCACGACGTGTGTCATCCCCTAGAACACCTATCACACACTAACATACGAGCCACTTGACCAGCTAACCCACATAGCCAGCACCTCAAGCCAGCACGTACGAATGCTAAGCTTGGATCCATAGTATCATACACGTTTGGGAGGTGACACGATGCACAATTGCGCACATGATCCTTCCAAACAACACCGGCACGATCCACCAACATGAGAACTCCAAAAGCTAACACCTCTCGCACTCGCAAGATAGTGCGTCCCACCGTCACATCCAATGTTGTCGGTGTAGTTTGTTATAGATGGACGTAGTCTCCCACATGGAATCTACAAATCGATGGTCGATAACCTCCTCCCCGGATGGTTGCGTACAGCAACGTATCTCTGTGTTGAGCAATCGCAAGATTCTCAAATGCCGCAGGCATAACTCTCCGAAAGAGCTCTACAAGTTAAAAACATACTCTCACCAACATGTTCGGGCCATCAAGGTTCAGCACATCGCTAGACTCACGACGAATTGATGTCGGCAAGTTTGGATCTCGGCCGTACAACAGAAAATATGATGAGAAGGAAGCCAAGTATGTTTGATGACTGAACCGATATCCCATGGCCAACCATAGTAAATGAATATTCCAATTCCCAAGATGTCCCTTCTAAACGCTATATTTGCGCAACGCCTTCTTCACCGTATGTACAACACGATCAGCCAAACCATCTGCCTACGGATGATCTCGCGATGTGGTTCGATGATCAATCAGCGCCTTTTCACACAAGACCTAAAACTCACCCTAAAACTTTGTACCATGATCGGTCAACACCTAAGCTGGTGCACCAAAGTGACTAAGCATCATGTCAAGGAAGGCATACGTTGTTTCCTCACTCGCCTTGTCAAGTAATGCCACCAACTCAATCCACTTGAACAAATGCTCTATCATGATCAACACATACCGATGATGTCATACGGTCAAAGATAATGGTCCAGCAAAGTTCAAACTCCAACAATAACCCAACCACAACGACCAAAACAGTTCACAAATCAACCAGTATTACCTCCTTTATCAATCTTGATAGCTAATCAAGAGGATTTGAGGTTGAAAAGATCCTCAAGAAACAGATTTGAGGTCATAAGTATCCAAAGTTTGAGTTTGGATACCAAGTGAAGTGGGAACCAGCTAGAAATCTGGCTAATGCACCGTTGATAGTTCAAGAATTTGAACGGATGTGCAACGAGGACGTTGCGTCTTAAAAGGAGGGAGGTTTGTAACCATCTTTAGTTAGTTAGAACTAAAGTAGAGATTATTCTAAATGTTGATATAGATACTTTAGCATGCACTAGTCATAGCTGCCACGTCAGCGATCTGCGCTCTTGATAGGTAGAGAGTAGGTGTGTTAGTTGATAGTGTTACATCAGCGATCCGTATGCTTGTTAGGTAAGGATTGAGTGTGTTAGTTGGGAGCGTCACGTCAGCAATCTGTGTGCTTGTTAGGGTGCTTGTCGGTGTGCTTGTTAGGAAGAACATGTGATCCCTCAAATCGGTATCTCTTCGCCGGCTAGAGAACACGATCTTGCTTCTTGGCACCCATTGTGCCTGGCACCATACAAGTCTGTAGGAACTCCAACACTAGGTCATCATCGTGAATATCACGTTGATTCGTAGCACCATCTTCAACCTCAAGATCTGAAAATTGACCATCCACTCCTTGACTAGAGCATGATGTCAAGTGATCCATCATACTAGAGTCTCCACGCAACAAACAAATGAAGTCAGATGCATGCCAACTAGATATCATCTCCTCATCAACCTCATCATGTCATCTAGCCCCAGTGTCATCCTCCTAGCTAATGAACAGGTTCTGACTCAGATTGTCGGCATCCAAGCTTGCAACTACAAATCTATGCACCATTTGAAATTCATACTCTTGTAAGATGAGAGCCCATAGTGCAAGCTCCCCTTTGAGCTTGACGGACTCCATTAACCACTTAAGCGGTTGGTGATCAATGACAAGGGTAAACTGTGTATCAAACAAGTAACACTTGAAGTGTGTCACAGCCCACAATGCTGCCAAACACTCTCCCTCGTACGAACTATATCGCGACTCCACTGCATTGTTTGAACGACTAGCATACGCAATCACAAATTCCTTGCCTTCATCATCACGATGCGTCAACACCACTTCAAGTTTAAACATACTCCAATCAATGTGCAACTGGTTTGAACGACCTTTGATGGGTCTACTCAAGATGGGAGCGGCCATCAACCTAGCCTTGAGCTCAACAAAGGCTCTCTCTTGTTCATCTACCCATTGTCACTCCTGATCGGACTTCAACAACTAATTCAAAGGTTTGGCTATAGCGCCGAATCCCTTCACATATCTCCGGAAGTAGTTCGTCAAACCCATGAATGCACAAACTCTACTCACATCCGTTGGACTAGGGATGCATGCAATAGCCTTCACCTTTGCTTGATGAACTCCCAAACCACCCGGATAGATCACATGACCCAAGTACTCAACGTTTTCTTGAAAAAACTTACACTTTTCCGAATATAACTGTAGACCATGAAACTTCAATCGCTCAAACACAATCTGCAAATGTATCTCCTGTTGTTCCACCATGTCGCTAAACATCAAAATATCATTAATGTAACATCTGGCAAAATCCAGCCCCGCTAGGATCGTGTCCATAATTCTTTGAAACTCGGCCGGGCATTCTTCAACCCAAAGGGTAAGAATCGCCATTGATACAAACAATCCTTGCCGTGAGAATTTATGCCCCAAAATGTTGTCTTGGCCTTGTCCTCCTCTCGAATCGGCAAATCGGCCAATATCCAACCCGCAAATCCAAAGTATTGAAAATCTTCACATGTCCCATCACATTGAAGATCTCCTCAGGTGTA